TTAACCGCCTCCCGGTTAGCTCAATGGATAGAGCGCTGGACTGTTGTGCGGGAGGTCGAGGGTTCGAGCCCCGGCCGGACCAACACTCAGGGTCTTAAAATAATTGAGAAGAATTTGCTACCTTTCTATAACATCAAGAAATGGTTAGATATTCTAGTCTTCTCGGATAGGGACGAATAAATGGAGGTCCCGTCTCCTGCAGGGTTGGGGTAGGAGACGTTAATTTCCCACACACGAGATTACTGTGTGATGGATGTCCTCCCCTGGGGTGGGATGGGTGGGAAGGTGAGATCGATAGACTGAAGCGGCTGCCAGAGGCGCCTGATATGCTGACGTCTGTTCTCAACCTCACACTGCACCCGTAATTCAGCCTCTAGGCTGCAAGTGGTCAGATATAAACTATATTCATATTCATTAGTTACGGTTTGTCCACCTGAGTGTTTGTCATCTCATATGACTGGCTATTCTATTTTGTAATTTTTTTTTGTTATGTATTGTTTTGTTTCGTCTCTGAAACCTCTCGTGTTTGCGAGAGATAAAACAAAAATGTAAAATCTTTAATGTAGAGCCGGGTTAATTGCCTCTGATTTTCTTTACAATAGACAAAACTTCTGAAGTATTTGCCAAGAAAACAAATACCGGGTAGACCGACCCACATTTCAGAATTTAATACAAGCAATTTGCATCCCATACCAGTGCCTGAACAACTGGCTATGGTTGTTCGAGGGATGGATAACGCTGTTCACTGGATATATCTCTATCTGATGAGTAGTACAGTCCGCTTTACGGTTATTATTTTCCACTGGACTTTGATTTATCAGTTGCATAGTGTCATCCGAGTTTTAAGTTAGGCCAGATGGAGAGAGCTAAATGATATCTCTGAGCTCCGCCTGAAAAAATACGTTCTAGAGTCTTAATTGGTTCCTTTCGTCATTTGTGTCATTCAGTGCCGTCCATACAATATAGGACAGAGTCATGTGGGCGTCATTTGTGTCATTCAATGCCGTCCATACAATATAAGACAGAGTTATGTGGGAGCCTGAGCATGTACACTTAGGGTACCAATCATCCTTTCCCTTATTTTGCAGGAGCTCTCAATCATCAGACAGCCCATCATCTCTTCCCAGGCATAAGTCAGTTTTACTATCCTCAAATTACTCCCATCGTCCGTGAGACGTGCAAGGAGTTTGGTGTGAGGTACAATTATAAGGAGGGCTTCCTTCAGGCGCTTGGTGCTCATATTTCACATCTGAAAGCACTTGGACAAGAGAAGGAAAAACCAGTTACCAGGCCTGATGAAAAAACGGGGTGAAGAATGAATGTGGGTTGTTGAGGATGAAGTGAGCCTGAGAATGAAGTTTCAAGTATTAAAGTTTTTCATTGTTAATCTGTATAATCAACATTTTTTCCTTGCGACTTGACAATGTTTAGAAAGGCAATTTAGTTTTAAAGTAATTCTTACTAGTGTTGAACGTTATACGAGATTGTATTGGTGTTTGCTTTAGTTTGCACTGCAATTGGTCCAGAAAACTACCGCCTTTCTCTCAACAAACCAGACACAAAACTGTAACCAGTTTGGTTATTTTACTTTCAGTTGTCATTGGCTCTTTAAAGGTACTTTCCTCTCTTCTGATTGGCCGTTGGGATGATTAATTTTGGTTTTATGTTTTTTTTTTTTAACTTTCCCATCAAAATGAAATGATGCAAATAAACCGAATGCAAATATGGAGGACCACTCCATCACCAGTCCTATCACACAGTCTAATTACAAGCGTGACGCGTTTACTATTAATGTTAGTGCTCAATTCGTGCTGCACAGGGCATGAAGATGCAATTAAAAGATGAGTTTTTTAATTCTTCACTGACTTGCCCACTGAATGTTCGAAATTCACAAACAATTGTTATATGTAGCCTCAGTTGTGTATATTACTGAAATCTGGAGCCTATCTGTATTAATCGTTACAAATATTTTATCACAGGATGGTTGAAAAAATTTTACACTCTATTACTCTCCACTTCCCTTCCATACGCTTGAGAACTCCCTTCCATAGAGACCTATCACGCAGAAAAAAATTAAAACAAAAGTAGCTACTAAAGTTTCCAATTCTAAAAATTGGACGAGTGAATAGCTTAAGACCGTTTATCGATCCTTTGGATAACAATGCTTTTAAGCATTACCTTTCACGGTGAAATTTCAGCGAACGTGTTTAATTCAAACCCAAAAGGGGCTTTTTGAACGAAGTATAATGAACATCGTGGTTTCGGACAATCGATTTCCTAGTTTGGGGCCCTCTTGATACTCTTCACCAAAAGCTACGTTGACATAAATGTCTGTCTAAAGTAAAGACAGATTACAACGTGTCTTTTGATTGACAAAGGTTAACTTGCGTTTAAATAACCTACGCACGAGGTCTCTATACACGTATGAAGACCTCTTTTCAGATATGAAAGGGTGAAGAGAACAGTTAGTTTCTTGGTGTCGAAAAGAATTACTGCTTTTAAGGGCAGTATTCACCAGTAGCGGTTTTGCCTCTTCAATGAGAAGCACTAAAGTCACGCTTTTAACGCACCTACATCAACTGTCAAGAAGCTGTACTTAACTTACTTTGCTTGTTTTTTTATCTTTTTATTTTTCCTTTTTAATCGAAGCCTAAGATATCTCTTACAGAAGTCCCTCTGGCATGAAGACAAGTGGACTCGGTTGTTCGTAGGGTGGATAACGCTATCCAGTGGATGAATTCCTATGCAGTAGATAACACATGCAGTACGTTCCGTCAACACATCCGCTGGGTGGCCATTCTTCCATTAGATGGCGTAATCTGCTCCTTGAAAAACTGGGCCATGGTCTTTAGTTTGTTCAAAGTTTCATGGTATTCTGGACTTCACGTTTCTTTTCATTTTTGTACACGTGCTTCGCCCTTCCTTTCTTTCTTCTTTCTTCATTGGGAGCAAAAGAGTCTTTTATGATACTCTTGTTCTAGGGATTTTTCCCATCAAAATCCCGACTACACCGACTTACATCCTTTACGAAACGAAACAATGTCAGAAGACACAAGATCGTCTTTAATCCAATACAGTAATTAACAAGTCCAGGGTTCGTTGTATGAATGTTTACCCAAATGAAGATCAATGCCAACCCGGTGTTCTACATGGCTATTGTTGAGTTGAATGGCTATTCAAATCTCAGTGACCCCCGATTTTAATTACGTGTCTCAGGAGGAAAATCAACACTGGAACACGCACGAATGCGGTGGAACACTATGGAACACCGGAACACTGAAACATGCCGATAAAATGTAACAAAAAAAGTGTAAAAAATAGCAATAACGAAATAAAAGATTATCAATATATACAACCTGTACACAGGTGAAGTTAAGGTTACCGTGCACCCTCAGAGGTGTTTCGCATGCAAGCGATGTAGCGCGTCCGGTTTAAACTGTAGATATCTAATCCCCCTATATCACTATATCACATATGAATTGTCGAATTTTTCACGACTTCTAAATGCGAGCGCCCGAATCACCTTTTGAACGTTACATGTTAAAGCAAATTTTGTTTTTCGCTTATTTAATGTGTTCCTCCGTTTCCGGGGCCAAAGCGCTAAAAAAACATGTCTGCGATTTGCCATATTCAATTTCAGTGAAAAGTTACAGAATATTTTTGAAATAGGATTAAAAAAATGAGTAAAGATCGTACAAAATCGCTCTTGAAAAAAAAAATATTTAGAAATAAAAAATTCGGAGACACGTGTTTGTTGTTTATATATAAAACTAGCTTCTGTCAAAATTTGAGAGCAATCGAACAAATTCCCGTTGACTTGTAGCTCTTAAAAAGTGATTCGGGCGCTCGCATTTAGAAGTCGTGAAAAATTTGACAATTAATTTTTTTTCAAAATTTTTGGTATAGTCTGATAGCCAGTCCTATAAGCTTTAATTTGATATAGGGGTTTAGATATCTACAGTTTAAACCGGACGCGCTACATCGCTTGCAGCG